TCCATCCTGCTGCTCCTGGGGTTAAATTCAGATTTTGTACCTGGAATTTTGTGTCCTGGTGCTGCTCCTGAGTGACAATGAAGGGAAAGGAATAAAATCCAAATTTCTGATTTTGGGATGCTGCCCTGAGCTGGCTTTAAATTCCCATCCTCATTTCCAGAAGGTCTAGAAAATAAGGAAAATATTTTTCTATGTCACAAAATGTAGGAGAATCCATCCTGCTGCTCCTGGGGTTAAAATTGAATTTTGTGCCTGGATTTTGTGTCCTGGTGCTGCTCCTGGAGTGACAATGAAGGGAGGGAATAAAATCCAAATTTCTTCCTTTGGGATGCTGCCCTGAGCTGGCTTGAACTTCCCATCCTCTTTTCCAGAAGGTCTAGAAAATAAGGAAAATATTTTTCTATGTCCCAAAATCTTGGAGAATCCATCCTGCTGCTTCTGGGGTTAAATTCAGATTTTGTACCTGGATTTTGTGTCCTGGTGCTGCTCCTGAGTGACAATGAAGGGAAAGGAATAAAATCCAAATTTCTTCCTTTGGGATGCTGCCCTGAGCTGGCTTTAAATTCCCATCCTGATTTCCAGAAGGTCTAGAAAATAAGGAAAATAATTTTTTATGTCACAAAATGTAGGAGAATCCATCCTGCTGCTCCTGGGGTTAAATTCAGATTTTGTACCTGGAATTTTGTGCCTGGATTTTGTGTCCTGGTGCTGCTCCTGAGTGACAATGAAGGGAGGGAATAAAATCCAAATTTCTTCCTTTGGGATTCCGCCCTGAGGTGGCTTGAACTTCCCATCCTGATTTCCAGAAAGTCCAGAAAATAAGGAAAAAATGTCCCAAAATCTTGGAGAATTCATCCTGCTGCTCCTGGGGTTAAAATTGGATTTTGTACCTGGAATTTTGTGCCTGGAATGTTCTGGTGCTGCTCCTGGAGTGAAAATGAGGGAAAGGAATAAAATCCAAATTTCTTCCTTTGGGATGCTGCCCTGAGCTGGCTTTAATTTCCCATCCTCATTTCCAGAAAGTCTACAAAATAAGGAAAATACTTTTCTATGTCAGAAAATGTAGGAATGTCCAACCTGCTGCTTCTGGGGTTAAAATTGGATTTTGTGCCTGGATTTTGTGTCCTGGTGCTGCTCCTGAGTGACAATGAAGGGAAAGGAATAAAATCCAAATTTCTTCCTTTGGGATTCTGCCCTGAGCTGGCTTTAATTTCCCATCCTGATTTCCAGAAAGTGTAGAAAATAAGGAAAATATTTTTTTATGTCCCAAAATCTTGGAGAATCCATCCTGCTGCTCCTGGGGTTAAAATTGGATTTTGTGCCTGGATTTTGTGTCCTGGTGCTGCTCCTGGAGTGAAAATGAAGGGAAAGGAATAAAATCCAAATTTCTTCCTTTGGGATTCTGCCCTGAGCTGGCTTGAACTTCCCATCCTGATTTCCAGAAAATAAGGAAAATATTTTTTTATGTCACAAAATGTAGGAGAATCCATCCTGCTGCTCCTGGGGTTAAATTCAGATTTTGT